TAATAATAATAATAGTAATAATAATAATTAAAAAATCCCCCAAACCTTGTAAATTTCCATCAATTTTGGTCAAGGTACAGCTCAAAGTCTACAAACTGTAATAGTTCGATAAATGGAAACAATTCTGTTGTGCTAGGGAGGAATGAGTGCAGCCAGCAACACAGCTCTAATTTTTCAGCCAGGTCATCGAGCTCTGGCAAGAATAATGGTGCTTAAAAAGAGCAACACGGGGGCAGCCCACCTTAGGCAGCCTCGGTAACAGAGCGCCAAGAGACACTTTCCTCTTCTACCCTCAGCTCTTGTTTCCCAATAAAGTCGTAAGCCTTTTGGTTGTGTCAGTGAAAGCCATTTAGGAGCTAGCCCTGATAGATTAACCAAACAATTAGCATAAAAAGAGAGAAAAAGAGAAAGAGCTTTTCTCTGAGCCAGTTTTGAGCTTCCTTGCAAACACTTGCTTTAGAGTAAGGTTATAAACTGAGATTGGAACAGGGGAATGTAAGAAGCTCTGAAACAGGTTTGAAATTGTTAACTGAAGCCACACTGGGCATCTGGAGGTGTAAATGAACATACTGCTATGCAGACAGAACCAGGGAAGAGATTTCCACTCCATCTTTCCTTTGTTTCACTACAGACCCTTCTCACAAAGTCATTCTCAGATCAGAGCCTAGGAAATCTAAAGGCTTGAAGATAACTTAGTGGGATACATGTTATCTGACTGTAGGAGAACAATCCAGCTGCCTCAGCAGAGCCATATGGTGGCTATTTTACATATCTTACAGTATCCTGCCTGGCTTCCAGCAGCTGCTCCAGAAAATTATGTTAGCCTTGTGTTTTCTTTCCAGTCCCATGCAGATGCCTCAGATAATACAGAACATCTTAAATAGCACAAACTGCCTACCTGTATTTAAGCACCGGACCTAACCTTTAGCCATCTGAAGTGTAAATGTCCACATCAAAGCTCTATTTCCTAGATGCCTTTCAGAGTCAATGGAGAGGAATGGATATTTAGCTGACCCCTGGTTGAGGTACCCACTTGGGAATGAGCTCTTCGGTGGCCTGGAGGCACTGGCTATAGTGGTTAAATCTTTTTTGCTCTCTGGTGACCAGCTGTAGTAGTGGACATCCATAGGTGCCTATTGTAGAATTGGTCATTAAAGATGTCATTAAACTTTCAAGATGCCATTAAAGTCTTCTATGGGTGGCCACATAGATAGTATCCCCAGTGGTACTGTGGGGTTTTCTTTAGTCGTGTACCAAGGGGAGGGAGGGTGTGTCCTGGGGTTTACTTCAGCAATGTCACATTCCCAGCTGTGCTTGTTATAGGGGACATCAGCAGAAATTGCACTGAAGATGGCTGGTCTGAACCTTTTCCTCATTATTATGATGCCTGCGGCTTTGATGAAAATGAAACAGAGTCTGATAACCAGGTGGGAATTAATCTCATAATTAAAAACAAATGAACAGGGGGGAACAGCAGGCTGCTTTTTGTCCAGCCTCTGGTCATGTTCTGATTTGATGGTGATTAGAATGAAATAATCAGATATTTATGAGCATAAAAATGTGAGGAGCAAGATTTAAATCCTTTCTAGCCCAGTACTTACTATTTCCAGAATAAGAATGTTACAGCTTGTAACTTCTAGAAGCAGGGGTTAGTCCCCATTCTTCCCTTACTGACTAAAGAATCCCTTAGCCAACTGCTTTTTTTGCTGCAGATACATGCACAATGGTCAAATAAATATAGACAGCCTTTGCTAGCTCACTGACAAAGCTTGATGGTGTGCAGGCCCAAGGGTATGCCAAACATAGAGCAACGGTCTAACGTACAGGGAGATCTCAGGGGTACCAAGAGGAGGAAACAACCAGGCTGTTCAAGAAACAAGTCCTGCCTATGGTTCCCCCTACATGTTGACAGGGTAAAGAAGATGTGACCGTAGATGAACCGTTTAACTGTGTGTTGTTTGCCCTCCCAAGGATTACTACTATCTATCTGTGAAGGCTCTGTACACGGTGGGATACAGCACTTCTCTTGTTTCCCTGACCACCGCCATGGTTATCCTGTGTCGTTTCAGGTGAGTCAGGACACGAGCAGTGAGCTGTTCAGTTGCTGGAGGAAAGAGACTGGAAATTAACGGACCAAAACAATGTTTAAGCTTTTATCTTACCTGATGTAGAATAAGAGGGAGACAACCCTTTAACAGAGTTGTTCCCCCAGCTTGAACACACCCCATTAGTCATGTTTCAGAAGACTGTAGATGCAACTGCAGAAGCTGCACTGGACTGGGTCTATTTTATACTACCCTGCATGCTTCTACGGGAAAATTCCCAAATCCTCCTCTTGGCCAGGTTTAGGGTCAGTATTATCCACACTCTTGACTTTCAGATGTTGCTACTGTTATCATCCAAGTGCTAGGAGCTCTGGCCATGTGTGCAGATAGGTCTAGTGTGCTATTTCCATGAAAGAAAAGTCTTTTTTTTTTTTTTTTCTTTTTTTTTCTTTTTCTTCTTTTCCTCTCCCTTGCTCTTTCCTCTCTAGGAAGCTTCACTGCACTCGAAATTTTATCCACATGAACCTCTTTGTTTCATTCATCCTCCGTGCAATATCTGTATTCATTAAAGATGGCGTTCTTTATGCTGAACAGGATGGCAACCACTGTTTTATCTCAACGGTAAGTAAAATCAAAGCCAAAGTCTATTCCTTTGTTTTTTTCAGCATGAGATAACAAAAAATAGTGAGGCAGGCAGCACTCTGTTGTGTATCGTAGGCTGAGAAGCTATTGGGAGAGAAGGTAATAGGTGGTAAAATTCCCTCCCAGTTCACAGAAAAACTGTGGATGGCATTGTGTCATGATGTCATCAGTGTCAGGTTTTGGTTTCTGACTTGACTCAGGTTTCTCCCCTTCACAGATCTGCATAGTGATAGGTGGGATAAGAGCAGACACAAGCAATTTCCTTCATCTGAAGGCCTGTTTGTTCTCCAGAGCTTTATTTCTTCTGGATGTCAGGCAGAGTCATGTGTAAAGAGTGACCGTTCAGACATAGAAAATACCCCTGATGGTCACACTCTCAAAAAATCAGGAGTATTAGCCGCAGGTTTGTCTCGGAAGTGTGTGGTTTCATGGAAAGCAGTCTCATTCACAAATGCACTTATCTATATATTACATGTAAATCTCAATTGCTTTCACATTTAAGGCTAGCATTTGATTTGATAAATCATCTCACTGGGTGTAATTATGATGGAATTACATTCAGTTCCCGAACTGAGAACTACTTTATCCATCCAGATATGAGCTAAATTCCCTATGAGTCACTTCCACAAGGAAAGTGCAGGTGTGTAGTTTCTTAGTCAGCCTTATCTTTGTCATTGAAACTAATTTCTGCTTTTAATTCTGAAGCCATGTTAGATCTGTAGTTGTTCAAACCACTCTTCTAATAGTGGCACCTGCCTCTTTGTTTTGAAACACTTGAAGCATAAAACATGTTAAAATCAGCCATTTAATGACTAGATCTTCAGCCCTGATAGAGCTTCTTTGAAGAAACTCAAGATCTGGTGGTTTAAACATATTGGTTGTAGATTTTTCCCAGAGGATAGGATGCAAGTGGGAACCAAAATTGTCAGCCTTTCACTGCCCCAGGCAAGAGCTTCCAGTTTATACATTGATTCTACTCTGTTTTGTTGAAAAGTCCTACTGTTGTAGGACTAATGATGTCTCACTGGGATGCGGCACTGGAAAGATAAGTGTGTCCTTCTCTCGCAGAGACAGGGTAGACCTTTATTTCCACCTAAGGCCTTTATCATATAATCATAGAATCATTTAGGTTGGAAAAGACCCTTAAGATCATTGAGTTCAACTGTAAACTTAACACTGCCAAGTCCACCACTAAACCATGTCCCTAAGCACCACATCTACACGTCTTTCAAATACCTCCAGGGATGGTGACTCAACCGCTTCCCTGGGCAGCCTGTTCCAATGATTGACAACCCTTTTGGTGAAGAAATTTTTCCAAATATCCAATCTAAACCTCCCGTGGTCCAACCTGAGGTCGTTTCCTCTCATCCTATTGCTTGTACTCGGAAAAAAGACCTACACCTCCTTTCAGGTAGCTGTAGAGAGCAATCAGGTCTCCCCTCAGCCTCCTTTTCTCCAGGCTAAACAACCCCAGTTCCTTCTTTTTTTTACTTTTTTCTTTTGTTCTCTACTTTTCACCCCAGCAAGTGAAAGAAAGCTTCTATCATTTTTTTACAGTAAATCTCTCTGGTTTTTTTACACTTACGCTTACTTTCATTTTCTGTCCCTGATTGACAACACCCACAAATGGCAAGGAAGTACAATTCTCAACTGCACACCGGAGGGTGCCTCCTTTCTGATCTGTCTCTCAGGGCTTTCCACAATCGTCCTGCCATTTCACATCCTTCCTTAAGTTTCTCAATACACAACTGGATGCTTTTCTTCTCTGCACTTAATCTCTGGAAGGGGGCTTAAATCTAGCAATTAGCATCCATTGATGATGTGAACTCCCACTAATACAAGACGTTCTCAAGCTGTCTGCAGACACTTGTTGACCATGTCCCACTGGTAAAATTGGCTACCGGTCCTTTCAAGCTTCGCTCTCTAAGTGGCACCTCACATTCTTCTCATGCTTTTAAAACTTTGCTATTAATAGTGTATAATACCAGTTCCAGCTGTGTTCCTTTCCACTGAGAGATTTGGAGAGGGTGAAAGCATTTTCTCTATCATCTGTTAGATGGAAACAACATGGAAATAACTTTGTTTTTCTTGATTCTTTGCAGGTGGAATGCAAAGCAGTGATGGTGTTCTTTCACTACTGTGTCATGTCCAACTACTTCTGGCTTTTCATTGAGGGATTGTACCTATTCACTTTATTGGTAGAAACGTTTTTCCCAGAGAGGAGATACTTCTACTGGTATACTATTATTGGCTGGGGTATGTGACATTTCTTATCTAAAATGTGTCTCAGTATGTAAGATGACTCCACAAATCATCTAATATTTTCATATACAGTTTCAAAGTATAGTTTTAGTCTGTATACAAGTACCACTGCAGACCGAACCATGTTGTGCTTTTTTGTCTGAACAGAGTTGAACCGAAATCTGGAGGACACCGCATCTCTTGCAGAGATGTAGTCCACAACTGAGAATTGCCTTCTACAAGATATGATCTTAATGCCAAGTTCTTCAGCTTAATCAAATCTGCAATGCTAAGTCTAGTCCATTTTCTAAGACTTTATTTGTGCCTTTCTTCCAGATAATAGCTAAATTGAAAATGTATCCAAAGGGTATCCAGATATGCTCATCCTACCTGGATGGGAAATGGAAACTTGCAATGGGAAGAAACAAGATTTGTTTCAGAAAGGCCAGTTGTATGATGATAATCAGTGTAATTATTTTTCATTCTGGACTTCTGGAGATAAATTGATTCCTGCAATATGTTAATTTAAACAGTTCTTTGCTGACATTTTTGTGCAGAAGTCAGATGATGAATGCAGAAGAATACATTAATTTTAAATGTACCCTAAGAAGGTTAAACTCAGTTTTTATACTTAAACATACTTCTGAAATAATCTGGAAATAATTCCGTATATTTATGTGTAAAGTCTACATACAAACCACATGTCTTAAACTATTCTCCTTTGAAAAAACCATCCTCATGTAACCTGAACCTTCAAGTAATCCACAGCTGGTTTTGGTTTTTTCCCTCCTGAGGCAGCTGTACATACACAAAAATCTTCATGTCCTGGCAAAGACTCCCTACAATAGGAACAATGGTACAGAGAAGAAGAGAACAAGTGATGAGAAATAACCTATGGAATATAAAGGTTGTTGGAAAAGGATGGCTACTGGAAAAGAAACTATTGGAAAAGGATGTTCAAAGTTGCCCTTGTACTATCCACAGATGTATAATCACATTATAGCTGAGATATAAGTATGTTTTCAAAGAGAACTTGGGGGTTATGTACATGAAAATATGAGAATTATAAAAGAAAACAATGTGTAAATATTTGCAATCTGAACACAAACCAGAGGTTGGGTTCCTTTAAGTAAATTTGCACAAATTTCATATCTATAGGTTTGTCTGAATGTGAGAATATTGCAACACAGCATATTAACAGATTTTTATTTTTTTTTAAGAAAATCAGCCTCTGTAATGAAAGAACTATTCAGATGGATTCATTCTGTAACAAAACCTCAAAATATTTGCCCTTGAGTTGAATACCATAAATAATAACTAGCTGACCAGTTTATATCACTTCATATTCAAAGCAGTATCAATAATATCCATTAATAACATTAAGGGAATCTCCAAACGTGGGTAGGTTTGGTTTGCGGTTGGTTTTTAAACACAATATTTTCTCAGCTCCTGCATATTTGAACTTGAATTGTAGCTCCCCTGACCTGGTAGGAGCAATTGGCACTTTGCAAGGACAGAAGCACTGCCAGACTCTGGCTGCAAGTCATGTAGGGGGAAGCCAGCCCCTCAGCTCCGATCTGATGGGGAAGGAGTTGCATTGAAGCAGCAATAAGCAAGAGCTCAGCGTTTTGCAGCATCTGGATGTTTATCTCTTTCTTTCAATGTGCTGAGCACATGAGAGTCCTCATTTGATTAATGAGAACTACATATGGTTATGTCGAGCCAATTTTTTTCCTCTTAAATATGCAATATGCTGGTAAGCTCCCCAGATAGACCACTGTCTTCCTGAGATCTCTCCTAATGCCTGCTCCTTACTCAGGGCATAAACACAGTCAGCAAGAATAGTTCTCTTTTAGCTTTTGAGGCTTGTCTGTTTTCCAATGTTACTGAGAAGTTGAAAAGATGATGATGAAGATATATACATATCTTTTGATGTAAAGAAAAGTAATGTGAGTGTATGTCTATTCATAGAGCAGATGGTTCAAAACTCCAAGCTGATCTGAAACGTGCTTTTTGAACTATATCTTTATGACACATTTAGTCTAATTCTGCTTTTCTGCTCATGTTTCAGACTTGGAACACTATTCATACAATCAAATTCATATAGTGCAAATCAGCACAAATGACATAGCACGTCAGACCCATGATTGATATTTAAAGATTATTTTTATTTTTGTGCATCTGTTAAATGCGCAAAGATCCCAATGTTTTCTAGGTACTCTCATGTGAGAAAAGCAGACTTCAATTTAAATTAAATATGCATGACTTCTTTTCCTCAAAGCCTGTCATTTTACTTCTTTTTATCATTTTCCTTTCAAATATTTCTGTGTATGCTTTTTTTTTTTTAAAGGAGGAGGGCTTCATCAGTCACCTAGGTCTAACAGGGATATTTTTATTTCTAATAGCAGGAATATCAGATTTGACAGAGACTCACTTAAGTGGATTCAGTCGAATGACTAATTAATGTGACATCAACACAGCCTTGCAAAATGTATGAAACATAATTGTTCCTGTCAACTTATGACAGTCTCGTTCACCGCTGCAAGCTGGGGTTATCAAGGTCCTTGTTTTGTTTGCTTTTTAGCACTTTATCTTTCCAGTAGTGTAAGAAAGATAGATGTAGGCAGTTTCCTAGTCACAGATTTTATTTGCCATAAAATGTAGATTTCTTGCAGGACTGCATTATTTTATAAAAATATTTCCACTGAAATACTACGCTTTTAGTATTTTCAGAAAGGAAAACAAATCCAGGTTTCTCAGTAGATTCTTACTGTTTCTATTTAATTTGTATTTTATGTGCATTTTTTTGAAGAGTAAAAAAATGTCTGGAATAGAAATTAAATTCTTGCTCCCAATATTCTCTTTTGGGGGGGCTGGGGTTGGATTTTTTCTCATGAAAAAAAGAAAAAAAAAACATTCCTGTGAGTAATGGAATACTCTACTGATTTCTTTTGGTTAAATAAGTAAAGTAAGATCAGTTATTTACAAAATAACAGAGAAAATACAATATATGCAAATCATTTGCAACCAAACCTCATAAGAATACAAAGAATACAATAATGCCATTACAGCTCAACATCTGCCACTATCCCGTTATTGCATAATTACAGTAGCTCTAGACACGGAAGCTGATGTCACTGTTTTTATTTTGTACAGGCTGTTTTAACGTTCGTGTAACAAGATGCAGTACAACAACTTTAAGCAATAACGACCTGAAACAGCATCATTCTTTCCTGTTATCAGGTTTTTTTCTGCAAACCCACCAAGACTAACGCATCCTCTGACTGAGACAGATGTTTCTAGAGCTCTGAATTAATGTAATGAATTGCATTTTTTCATGCATGAGCGCCATTAGGAAATAAAACCTCAGTGGAGAGGTTGCAAAAAGTGCTTGTTGCTGAATAGTAAATATGTCTAGACTGTTAATGATCTCACCATCTTATCTTCTACAGGTACCCCAACAATTTGCGTCACTGTCTGGGCAGTGCTGAGACTTCACTTTGATGACACTGGGTAGGTATCACTGCGTGGGAAATAATTTCACCTGCAGTCAGCACGATGGCAAGGATGAAACAGAAATATGGTGATCAGAGGACATGACTATTTTCTTCTTCCATTTCTGACATTGATCTGTGTAAGCAAGTAGTTTAGGTCCAGTGTTCACCCTATAGTGCTTTCCTGTTCAGCTGCATAAATAGCCATAGTTCGATGTTTATGTCCCTATTGCACTGGTGAATTCATGAAAGAAGATGGCATCTGCCCTGTAAACCTGCCCCCGACCCAGTGGCCCTCCATTCCCTGCTCAATTAAATTAGTGGAGTCCAAGATATGGTTTATCTCATCTTAAAAGAGCTGTCAGGTGAATCACACCTGCGATTGTCTTCTCCTCTCGAGCTGATTGTGAAGGAAGACGAATGTGATGAGGTCATCTGCTGAAATTATTGCAGATATCTCTGATGTGATGAGTGAAATCTGCACAAGGAGTTGCTGAGCTTTGATTTACAAAGGCAATTAGGAGTTTGGCTTCCCCTTGGAGAGGATTTTTCCTTAAAAAAATATTGGGGGAGATGAGTAGAGGTGCGACGGAAATCCACATCCTGTCTTCTGTGTGAACTAGAATGGAAATGGAATAATTTCAGAAAGAATTCAGGAGGGTAGATTCCACCCAAATGATCTCTTACTG